TTCCTACTATCTATCATTTTCGTTGCAATGAGAATCTCCTCGCTCCAACGAGAGTTCATCATGCTATAAAGCGCTCTAGAGAGCCTAATTCTAGACAACTTGTCTCACTATAATGAGAGATATTTTGCTATAGTTCAACCTTACTCAAACCAAACAACATTCATTCATTTTTCATCTAGTAATTATACAGAACACACACACGCAAACACATATTTGTATGTATGTATGTATGTATATATATATATATATATATATATATATATCAGATAATTACAACACCAATTTAAAAGAATACTAAATATACCTATAATATAGACCTGACAATTAAGGAATCAATATAGATGAAAATTGTGTAGCAACAAGATCTATGAATTGGGTGATTATCTATCAGATAATTACAACACCAATTTAAAAGAATACTAAATATACCTATAATATAGACCTGACAATTAAGGAATCAATATAGATGAAAATTGTGTAGCAACAAGATCTATGAATTGGGTGATTATATATCAGTGAACCAGTAGAATACAGAAAAGTGAGATTAATGAAGTTCAATCCTAGCTATTAATTCTGAATCAAATCCTATTTACAACTTTCATTTTTATTCTTTTGTCAAACTGAATGATTTTCCAAAGAGAACTTGTTTCAAAATCACCTTTGCCATAAATAACTTAAAGAGTTAAACACTTGAGAGAACTTAAGTCTGTTGTTCCTTGTGGATACAACACTCACTCACCATTTTATTACAAGTTGGTTTTAGTATTTACACTAGTTCTCAACATCCAATAAATTTAACATTATAGAATTAAACATTACAATAATAATAGTAGTTGGCAAAATATCGTAACAATCATGACAATTTGGTAAACTTGTACCATGTTTTCTTCTGTATAACTTTCTTCAAAATATAAGGTACTTGAACAAGAATTATAATCATTTTTTATCCCCAATAATTTTTTAAATATTTGACAAATGTACTAAGTTTTCGATGTAGTATAAAAGGTTGTCATATCCACAAGAAATGTTGATACTCAAGTAATTTTAGTTATCCAAATTAAAATTTACAAAGTCCTAAATATTCACAAATTTACAACTATGGTTGTTTGGTTTTTGGTTGATTAAATGCATTAAAGTAAAGAATAGATGATAGAATGCAGATTTACTACGATAATAAAATGCAAGGATCGAATTTTATCTATCTCTAACTTCCTATTTTAGTCATAATATAGCATGAACAAAGACCAAGGTTTTATGATGCACTCCTATTATATTCACTCATTGGATTCCTCTCACTCAAGATTCTAAGATGTATTTATTGCATGATAATTCATTACCTTAACAACAAACAATCCAACATTATAGCAAGAGTTATTTAGCATACAATAGATTGAGATCTATTCTTAGAGTTTCAACCTAATGTGTGAGTTTATCCCAACTGGGTCCCAAGGTAGTTTCTCATCTTACTTCGAATTTCCAAATCATGAATCATTCTCCTTATGGTAGAAACAAGCATTAATATCAAAATAAACACACCTAACTCATGGAAAATGAATAAAATATATTAATAAACTAAAATACTCAGAAAGTTAAGATTACATCCAATCCACTATAGAATTCGAGCCACTCATAGTGTATAAAACAATAAGGAAATACATGAAAAAAAGATAGAAATTAGTTCTCCAATGATGTAGCTACTTTCCCACACTTCCCTCCTTTTACTCTGCACTCCTCTTCGCAAAATTAGGTCACTCCCATTTGCCCCTTTCGTGTTTGGATTCTTTTGATTTAGGGAAATTAATGAACTCTTGCTTGAGTGAGCCATTTCTCGCTTAAGCGGGATCCACACAGAGGCGCTTTGGCAGTTCCAGACAAGAGCTCTCTCCTCGCTTAGGCAAACCATAACTCGCTCTAGCGAGACTTGAAGGCTTTGTGGACTTTGTTTCTCTTCTCTTCACTCTTCATTTCATCATGCTTTGCCCTTAATATTTAGCACAGGATAAGAGGATCAAATAAATGCCTTCATATAATTATATATTTAAAGCAAATAACTACTAAATTTAAGTGACTAGACTTTAATTAACATGAAATAAAAGGAAATTTAAGTATAAACTAATTAAAAAGAAATCAAATAAGTGTCAAAACATAGACTAAAGACTACTAAAATATGTCACTTATCGCAACACCATTGCAAATACCCAACCCACTATTTGTATATGTCATAGGTTTAGTACCATCAATTCTACCACTTCCCCGATCACCATCACTTTGTATTACATTTTTCATCTCCATACTTTCTTTGAAGGTGTTGCATCTCAATTGTCAATGACTGTTTAATTTTATAAACACCATTGTAACTTCCATAAGCCAAATAGAATTCATAAGCTTCATTCGTATTAACAAATTTTATTTTCTTAATGTCACTGCTACATAAATCAAAGAAATTCACGTACCCATCATTTTGCATAACGACTTTATTTGAACTTCCAAATTTGTCAACAACATTGCATTCCACAACAAAAACCTAAAACAAAAATAAAAACTAATAAAAACACTTTTTTGGTTCATGCAAATCAAACAAAACAACAAAGGTCATGCACTAAAATACATACAAGCCTATCCAAATCAACATTCGTTTCCATCGTCATTTTCACTAAAATCCATCTTACTTTTCCTTTTAAAATGAGTCTTCTTTCCTAATAAGTCTATAATTAGGCCCTATTTTATAGCCCATATATTCATATTTGACCTATATTTTATTTAGAGTTTACACTAATTTATATATTAATTATGCAGTTTGGTGTAAAGATGCCGCAAGTGGACTTTAGGTGCGTTTTGGACCCAAATTAATGGAAGATTACAGTTTCGCAACAGGCAGCACGCCCAGACCCTTTCAACAAGCATAGGGGGTACTTCGAGCCCATGCACGGTTGTGCTTAAGGCCTTGCACAGCCGTGCTCATCTGCAGGAAGCCTAATTACGAAGAGTCTTTAGGATTTTCAAACCCTATTAAAAGGGGACCTCAGGCCTCACGTGTGACACCATTTTGACCTTGACTTTTGCTCTGGGATACATCTCATCTCGTCTCTCTTGCACGGGATCTTTGGCACACTCTTGGCAGGACTTGGAGCTTCAAGCGATCGTACTTGAAGACAGGGAACACATCTCACATTCTAGTTTGTTATTTCTTTTAATTATGACTTTGTTTATGATTGTTTTAGTTCTTTTTTTTAGCATGAGTAACTAAGTCCATAGCTACGGCTATTGTTCATGAATTTATGTGATTTTGACGTTTGAATCTAAATTTGATTTTCGTTTCGTGATTAGATTTTATCCTATTGCGCTTCTCTCTTAATCCTAATTAATTATTTCGTCAGGCGACCGTACCTCGGTTAATTAATAGATCTATAGGGTAAAACGAGACAAAGGATTAGGTGGACCAAATGAATCTTTCTCTTCTTTATCGTTATTAAATTAACAAGTTCATAGGTTCCTTAAGCTTTCTTAAATTGATGTCTTGTATGACCATTGAAGATGTTAATTTAAAGAAAAGAATATTAATATTGCATGACCATTGGGTATTAATAGTATTCGTATGAATGATTAGTAATCACAAGAACATCGGATTTAGAGTTAAACAGAAAAATAACATAAAGGATTGAATGAGAAAACCCATACGCCCTCGGTTCCTCTCCATTAAGTTTAACCAAGACATGTATTGTATTCCTTGCTCTTAGTTTTATAGTTGATTTTATAAATTCTTGTTTTAATTGATCTCGTGTTTTTGAAGCTTAAACAATTGAATTAGGAAGTTCTTAGTAATTGGAAATCAATCCTTGTGGGACGATATTTCGGGAACTTAATTTAAGAACCCTTTATTACTTCTCAATAGGTACACTTGCCCTGCAAACATTTTCCTTTCCCTACCTCTTCATCCTCCTCTTCACCTTTCTCTTTCTCTTTGTCTTCCTTTTGCCTTTTGCCTTGAACTAAGTCTTCGTCCTTGTCTTTGCTAGAAACCTTCGCCTACACCTTCCTTTGTCATTTCCTATGTGTTTTCATCTATGCCTTCACTTTCCTCTTCGTCAAAGCATTCGCCTTCCTTTGCATCTTCCTATATTTCTTCGTCTACTTCTTCACCTTCCTCTTCGTCCTTCTCTCCCTATTCCTTATTATCTCACAACTTCAACCAATTTAGAAAATACACTTTCAATTAGTAACGCAAATTATACTAAGCAAAGCCACCCTAAAGCATTGATATCTATTTATAGTTTTACCTTCATGAATAAGATCTGATAATTGTTACTCGTCCAACTTTAAATTTCTTCAGCTTCAATCTTAGTCATTTAACATGAAATCAGATCAATAGTCTCAAATCATCTACACTTTGCTTATTCAAAAGCATTACTTTTCTAATTTCCTTACTTGTCAAAGTTAAAAGAATGATGTTAGAATCAACCTAATTACTATTCTTTAGAAATAGTTTATTTTTTGACTTATTTTTTACTACTTCATTCTCACGTTATTCTTTTAGACTTATCAAGTCTTCCATTTTGAAATTTTTATTTACTACACCAATTCCCCTATTCCTTATCCAATTTCGCATTTAATTCCTTTTACTTTTTTGACTCACGTTAACTTCCTTTTAACACTTGTTTTTCAATTGAAATTTCTAGTTAATTAGACCCCTCCACCTATTCCCACAAATTCCTCCCCTCCTATTGAAAATTTGATTGTGTTCTACTTTAGAATGTGTTTATTCACTTTCCTTCTTAAACACACTAGTAGTATTGCCTATACACTTTATATTTCCAAGTGATTGCAATGAAAAGTTTTGCCTAACTAAAAAATTCAAGAAGCATTATTAGATTTATACTAAAGTATTTTAAATCTAAGAAAAATTAGTCCATATATAAAATTTTACACTTATTAATCACGGAATAAGTTGATGTTACAAATGTAGCCAGTAATCCAATTAAAAAACAAATTTAGAAGCTTGAAAATCCACTAACAAACATTTGAAGATAACTTATAAACACTGGTAAGTACATGCTAGAGTGATGATACCAACGCAGATGGTTTACATTACAAAGCCAATTTTTTTATTAAGACTCGTACATACAAACTAGTGTCCATCTAACTAGTTTCCATCCTAAAAACAATTTAGTGGCCACTTCAGCTTTACTGTGTGACAAATACATGCATTAAATGAATAAATTAAATCTGAACTTTAGCTAACATCACAATGTACAACACAAACAAATCGCCTCTGATTTCTTCCTCAGCAAGAATTTCTTCATAAAGATTTTGGGTATGCAAGTATACTTCAGCTTCATTGAAATTGTCGCATACTGAGTCAAGTTGTCAGCAAATTTCATCCGCGTTGTAAACAGGTATCTGCCAAACTTTAGTGTTCTTTTTTGGGTCATCAGTGAGGCTATAATCTGTCTCATCTTCCTTGAATGTTCTAATGAACGTTTTAGCACCCATCATTATAAGCCTCTCGATCATGAACAACTGGTAATTGTTCTCAATTAATGGATCCAAGATATGGCTATAATTTGAAGAATATGCCAATCTATACCTGCAAGAGAATCACAAAGGACATAAAGAAGAGTATTTGATGCCTGCCAAAAGTTTGCTGCAGAAACGGAAGTGACTATTGGAATCTTGTTTTTGTGATATTTGTCTATGATCAGCTTCGCCTTCCAAAGCATACTAGAGTCATTGTAAATAAGAATATGGACAAGAAATGATCAAATGTTCATAAGCATTCAAATTTAATAACCAGCCAGAAATAATCCATCAGAAAACAGATAAAGTACATGGTACGATAAAAAGTGAAGAGGCAAAAAAGTATACCTAGTGCAATGAGTATAGTCTAAGGTTCAGTGAGATGCATATTAGCAAACTACAATTATTGGCTTTTTTTAAAACAAATCAAGATGTTAACATAAAATTGACGCAAATTTCCAGCAGAAAATGAATGAAAGCATATGCATATTGCTTCCATGACCTCTGCATAAACAGAGTCAACTTCACATAGCATTAAACACATATTTTAATTACTGTCAAGAAATAATTACATAGGTAACACCCCCCCCTCCCCATGCGTACATGCTGCACCCATGGGAAAAACTAGAGCATGCGAGAGAAAAGTTACCTGACAGAAAGTGGTGAAAAAAACCCTGGAGTCCTTTCATTTGAAGCAATAAACAAGATTCTTCCAGGAGGGACCCACTTTGCTATCCTACATACAATAAACTCAGGCCGTGTATCCCTATCAAGGTGAGGATGCAGGGTCCTTGCTACACCAAATCTATCCTTCCTGGTCTTTATTTTATCCCCACGACGAACATGGATGGCATCATAATCACCAAGTTGTGCTTTAATCTGTGAACAAGAGTCTGATAAGAAATTGAAATGTGTAACACAGTGATACTGTTCCATTGTAATGCAACAATTTTAATATATCAAGCATATTACGATATAACATTCATTCAAGGCATGTGACAGCAAATTATCTATGTACATGATAGGAACTGAATTTCCTATGGAATAATAAAGGAAATATTTAGAGAACAATACTCTGATTACAAGGCTAATATGGAGAAAATATAAAAAATGATATTGAAAGAAAACGAATCATTGAAGGAAAACCTCTCTGCCCTATGGCAAGAGCCACCCAAAACTGCCCAATTTGACTGCCTGCCTACCTTCACATTTCCCCTTATATCCCCACTCAGCCTCTAACCTCAATGCCTCCCACATTTCTTGCCATGTATGCAAGTTTGTTACAACTTAGATAAATCCCATTTTTGCCAATGGAACAGTTGAACTCCTTATAGAAGAATACACAGTACACACAGTCAGCTGCTGCTTAACCCTCACTCATTTTTGTATGAAGCAGGAAGTCACAATATCAGGCTAACCAATATCTTAACCCTCCCTCATTGATTTGTGTAAGACTTCTCAGTGGTAATTTACTCCTGTCCATTTCAAGGGAGTTACTATTACTGTATTGATGTGCAGAAATACAGAGCAGCTTTCTTGCATTATTGATTCTTCCATTTTCACTTTTATTTCTTTCTTTGTTTCTGTTTTAGAGGATACTTTACCCTCCCCATACTTGTACTTCACTACTTTAGTCTCAGCAATTTCTTTTTCTATCCAAAAAAAATATAAATGAATTTACAATAATATCTTTGAGGAAAATGAAAAAAAAAAACAGAATATACACACATAAAAGCTAACCATAATCTACTTCCAAATGGCCCATCCTGTAGTCAAAAGCACCACTTGTATGCAAGAAAAATAAATGGAAAACAGAAGTATATTATAAAGGAGAGATGAAATCAAGCATTTATCTAATCCTAATGTCAATTTTGACCTCGTTAGTCTATCAAATTGGCTGCTTAAAATTTGATTACCTGCATAAAAATGTAAATATAAACTATATAAAGACACAGGCATTAACACAGGGACCTATGTGAAAGAATAGATCAAATCCCTTAACCACTCGTACTGCCAGCCGTCATGCACGCAACTAAATGCAGATTAAATTGTCAGTGTTTTTTCTTTTATTGTAAAGAGAAAATTACCTGTGAAAAATGACAGCATATAGTGACAATTGAATTATACCTAAATTTAGTTCTAAGAATTTTACCCTTAGAAATTAGTTTTTATTTTTCATCTACTGGATGTCTCATCTACCATTATGCTTACTTGTTTGTTCCTGCCTCAGTTCCTTTCTTATTGAGGGGGAAAAGAAAAGAAATGGAGGGAGGGAGGGAGGGGGCAAAGGGGGTCAAGTATAGGCCAGATGAAAATCATATCCACAAGCCTTATTATTCTATAAAATTTCTTCATGCCTCTCTGCATTAAGAGATGCACAAAGTATAGCTAAATGGACTAAATTCAGTCTCCATAAAATTATCTTTCATTTTCTTAATATAAAAAATACATCAGAAGAGTCCTAAGTAGTCATGTCATTGACCTGTCACTGGAATGCACGAAGCTAGTTCAAAAGGGTATATGTTTCAGGAATAGACTCGAGAAAACCCCTAGTGTACCAATATTTAACCTTGATATAACTCATTTAGGTTCAAATCCAAATATAGAAGAGTAAAATATATTTAAATTTTAACAGTTGTATGCTCCAAAGCAATAGACTTAAAACCCATTTTTAAAAATAAAAAACAAATTTAAAATTAAATTAATCCTACTTGCAAATATTAACGACTTTAAAAGACCACATGGCAAATGGACCTTTTCTGCTGCATCTCTTAGTTTCCCAGCAGCCATTGATGGCAGAAATGAATATGGCAGCATTATGGCACTACGGTTGTTTCGATCCTTGCATTCCATAAACCTGGAAGGTCATCAATTGAACCACAAAGCAGTCAGTTACATATTTGTCATGTACAGCAGTTCTAATAGCTCAAGTGTCTTTCCAAACAAATATATCTCTATCATATAACAACTTTCCTTTAGGCCTTTTTTTTTTGGGAGTGTAGAGGGAGAGGGAAGGGAAGGGTCACATTTAAAAACTCCCGAATAAGGATTACCATTAAATAAACCTTCCCCTTCCCCTTCCCCTCCTAAATTTTACTCCCAAACAAAGCCTTAAGAACTTACCAAGACAGAGGGCTTGCAGTTCTGTTAATGAGCAACAAATCCAAGTAGCGGTTATTTTCTTTAAGATCAACACGGTTAACTCCTTCCACATGTGCAACTCCTCTGGCTCCCAACTTCATGCTTGTGGATAGAACCGTATACCACTCTTTTGAATCATCCAAAATCACACGAACAATTCCCGATATGAGTTCTATGTCATACAAAGAGTCCATGGCACAAGAACTCGCAGCCCACCTAAATAAGGCCAGTTAAATCAACCAAAATCTGGCAAAGCTAAATTATAATATGTATATTAACAATGACAAAACAACTCAACTAACCTTTCCTCAGAAGTAGTAGCATTAGTGGAATGATGAAGGATTCCTTTCTTGTTATGTATGGGATTAATACACATCCTCGATGGCATCACAAAAGTTCTGCAACCACGACATAACAACTTCACTTAGGATTTGCAGTAATGCCCTTGCAATTGTATTGATAACAATTAAGGCTTTAAACTACTGCCCACAACTGCAATCATAGCTAGGGGTGTAAATATCTAGAGCTAGTACGGAAATGGGATCTCCAATAGCAAGAGATAAGAGATTCATATGAGAAAACTTAAGTAAATGAGCTTCTGAGTTGAGTTATTTGTAAATCGCTAGACCTTGACTTATTAAATGCTCATTCAAGTTTCTCTGTTTAGGTAAACAAACAAGCTTAAACTTGACTTATTAGCACGAAAGTATTCTGACATGATACATCTGCATATGTACATCTATATTCAGATAATTGTAATTCTATTTATTATATTTGCTTGAAAAATCAGAATTTTGTCTGCTATCATATATATACATAATGTTTACTTAATTTCAATTTTCTAGTGTTATGTTTTAAATGAATAATAATTTTTTTTCAAAGAAATGCACTATTTTTGTCGTCAAAGACTCCATTTCTAATCTTAAATTATCTTTATAAATATAAAATTATATGTTATCACTATTGTACTTTACTTATTAGTACAAAAGTATCTCTTAAATAATAAATTAATAAACAAAACTAATTCAAAGAGAAATTCGACAAAGAAGAACAAACAAGTTAACAAGTCAAGGACGAGCTTTGAAACTTTTAATCAATTCAAGTTCAAGCTTTAAAGTTGTGTCATTTAAATAAATGAACCAAATTCAAGCATACTCCCTTTCAAGTATTAAAATGGTTTACACTCCCAATCATAGTCACGTATTCCTAATTTTGCCATATTGAATAGAAGAAAATTTAGGTGCAGTTGCTTAAGTGTTGTTTGTTAATCAAAATTAGAGTTTAAAAAAAAATAAAAAGCTAATTTTAATAGGTAAATGACACTAACGTCACATAAAGAAAAACACCACTGCGTTGGGTGGCAATTATAGTAAAAGGATAAATACAAGGAAGAGGAGAGTGTGAGATGGATGGAGAAAAAAAGCACCGTTGAAGAAACATGGCTTCTTCGAGGGCGCATCGGAGGCTGGATTCTTGGTGGCCCAGGCCTTCGCAAGATACACAGTGTTTTCCGGGACAGTCGATTCGGGTTCCCCAATACAGGTACTTCTCCTCTGACTCCTGTTTTTGTTGTTGTTGTTGTCGTCGTCGTACGTTGTCGGTTGAGAGCATAGAGGAGAAGAGGAAGAGGATTGCAATCGCTGTCACTGCTGCGACAAGGAGCAAAATTGAAGATCTCGCGGGTTTCGGTTTCGTCTTTGCGCCTCTGTGAAATGCCATCGAAATTTCTGCTACGTCTGTGTTGTTATTGCTGTTGAGGGAGTGAGGCAGATTTCACAGATTAGATTCTTCAGTATTCAACTATTCGTAAAAAGAAACCTCCTCTTCTGTATTGTTAGCTTTATTCTGTGGGATACTTCAGTTAATAAAAAAGACCATAGTTACAAAATAAATAAATATTATTCCGTATTTAAATGTATGTTTTTACTATTTATGAATAAGTTTTCTTTCATTTTTACCTTTTTATTTTTAAAAAATAATATTTATCATCACTTAATAATATCATAATACTAATAAATATATTAATGTGTTTCATGAATTTCTATAAGTATATTTATATTTTGTATTAAATAATTTAATTTAAAAATAATTATAATTTAAATAATACTTATTTTAAACGTAACAGAAAAATAAAAAATAAAAATTTTCATTATTTTTTAAAATAAATTATATATAAAAAATAAATATTACAGTTAAACTTAATTTATATAGATTTTAAATACTTCAAATTTTAATAATAATAATTTAATTATAAATTAGTAAATATATTTGTGTGTTATACAAATTTAGTTATATTTTTGTTAAATTATTTTATTATAAAATAAATAAAAATTATAATTTAAATATAAAATTATATAATAATAAAATTTTATCATATTAAATGATATCAAATATAATTACATTAAAAATATAATAAATATATTTTTATATAAAAATTATTTATATATTTTATATATTTTTCATTCTATTCAATAATAAAAATTGTTATTCTTTTAGTTGATGTAAACATAAAAAAATAAATTTTTAAAAATAAATTAAAAAATATATGAAAATAAATAGTAAAATTTTTTAATTATTTTTTAATATAAATAATGTAAATCTATTATATTATTATTATTATTATTATTAAATATTTTAAAATAAAAATAAAAATACATAAAAGAAAGTATATACAAATAAGTAGAAATATATTAAAAATATATTTTAATAAACAATTAGTTTTAGTATTATACTCAAGTAAGATCCATTTGAATAAAGTCTAATTTTTATTTCTCAAGAATTAAAATAAATATTAACATAAACTTATTTGATAAATTATATATAAAATTATTAATTTATAATTTTAAAATAACATATTTAAATTTGGCTTATAACAAATAAATGTATACTAATAATTAATGATTTTAATTTAAAATATTTTTTAACTTTTAAATTAGTATTAATTTTAAGAATATAATATTATAAATAATTATATGAATGCAAAAATATATATTTATCTTACTTTATATTTTAGGTATAATTTAATTTACAACAAGACAATGAATTGTAAGCCTATTACATGATTGAATACTCCAAAAAATATTTAAAAGCAATCAAAATTTAATTTTAATTTCAAAAAAATTTCAATAATCACATAATTAGAATATAAAATGTTAATAAATAAAGTATTAGTTTAAAATGTTAATATTAAAAATATTAAAAAATATTTTTATAATATTTTAAAATTAATTCATGTGTTTATTTGATTGTAGATTTTTTTTTTATAATTATAAAAGAAATATTTGAAATGTGAAAAAATATTAAAAAGTTGAAGAGCTTTGATTTATTGTTAAAACAAATTATATATATAAAAAGTAAATATAACTATAGATAGATATAAATAGTCTTAGTTAATTTTACATATGAATATAAATATAGATAGATAGATATAGATGTATTTAATAATATTGAGTTTTAAAATATTTTAAAATAGTATGATAAAAAATGTTGTGACAATTTATAAAAATTAAATGTTATATATAGTAATTGCAAATGTTTTTAGGTCAAACATAAAGAAAAAATTTACTATGAATTACATTTAATAAAAATTTATCAATACTGATTATTTAAAAATGTATCAAGTCATATTCCAATTGAATAATATTGATTTAAATAGTTTCATTTATTATTTTAATATATTCAATATTTAAAAATATGTATTAAAAATTAAAATATATTTGAAATAAAAAATAGTATACATCATTACAAATATATTATAAGAAAAATTAGTATTTTCATCATCTAATATTAAGATAAATTTTAATTTTGTCTTCTAACTTTTTCTTAGTTCATTTTAGTCATCTAACTTATAAAAATGTTTGAAATGAGTCATTTTCTATTAAAAATGCTAACATTGTATTGGAAGAGGAACTGCTCGGTCCCATATGTAGAAAAAGTAAACTGAATATTTATTCGGCCTAGTTTGGCCAAATACCTAGTTATCAGGATTACAAGGTAATTGACCCAATTAAGAATAATAATTAGAGTATTATCGACGTTAACTAAAAGGCCAAAATCAAGGCAAACTCAGCAGGCCCATTAGCCCATAATAATGCATATAAAAGAAAGGTAGGAAGTAGAGGTAAAGGATTGACTTTCATTATTAAATAGCATTTATTGCTCAGAACCGAATCTTGACTTCAGCATCGGAGTGCCTTTTGCAGGTACCCTTCCACGTCAGCAACAATCAGAGAGACATCATCGCTACGGATTAGAGACTTGAAGATTAGTGTTTCCCAAGCAGGAACATTTTGGCACCCACCGTGGGGCACGATTAGCCTCGTTTTTCATATTAATCATGGTACTAACGAGAAGCCAGCAGGAAGGACATGCTCAACAGGGAGGAACCTCTCGGCAACAGCTGGAGGGTGTCACACCAGATGAACCAACACCTGAAGTTGTGATGCAAGGAGGAACTAACGAGAGCTTCTTAGCTGTACTAAGACAACTCAAAGCAGAAATGACGAAGATCAAGAGGGAGAAAGAAAAGGATGCACTAGAGCTCTTGGCTCTAAGAAGGGAAAATGCTAACTTGAGAGAAGAAATAAGAACACACATCCCTTCCCAAACTACACCCTTCGTCCAGGATCAGGGGGAATCCTCGGCGTTGCAGGAGAAATCAAAGCATGTTTTTCAATCTGAAGCCAAAAATGACCAAGACGATCTTGTGAGTCGAAGCCCATTCGTTCACCACATCTTGGAAGCTAAGCTACCCGACAACTGGAGAGGCTTAACAATAGAAAAATATGATGGTACATCTGATCCTAGGGAACACTTGGACGTCTTCACAACCCAGGTCGGTCTGTCTACCGAGAACGATTCTTTATGGTGTAGGATTTTTCCCACCTCACTTCGAGGACCAGCCCTCAGTTGGTTCACCCGACTTTCCCCTTCATCCATTGACTCTTTTGCAACTCTCACAAGACGGTTCAGCTTGCAATTCGCCACAAGCCGACCTCATCCCTTAACATCCTTGGCGCTGGTCAATATTAGGCAAGAAAAGGAAGAATCACTTAGAGCATTCATGGAGCGCTTCGACAAAGTGAGCCTTTCGATCCATAACTTGGAACCAGCAGTGGCTATACACCACCTCATAACGGCCCTTAAGCCAAGACCTTTTGTTAACAGCATCTGCAAGAAACCACCTGCTGACCTAGACAAATTGAGAAGTCGGGCTGCAAAGTATATGTAGATGGAGGAATAGTCCGAGTACCAAAACCAGGTACGGATGGACCAGGGGTCCAATTCAAAAAATACAGATAAGAGAGAAACTTTCAAGTCTAGGCAGGAAAATAAGGAGAAAAGAAATGAACTTGAAAGGCCGCCCAGGGGACCCAAATATCCTTCCTACACTATGCTCAACACTGATCGGTCCAGAGTACTTGATCAGGCATTGGCCACAGAAATACTGAGAATGCCTAGACGCGCCAACACCCCTCCTCGGGCAGATAAAAGCAAGGCTTGCTGCTACCATCAAAACAGGGGTCACACCACTGAGGAGTGCACAGCGCTGAAGGATAAAATTGAAGAATTAATCAAGGAAGGACATTTAAAAGATTTTGTGCAGACAAACCTCGTCAGTCAATACAATAAAGGAAGAGACTGTTACCCTGAGTCATCGAGGAGATACAATGACAAAAGACTTGAACGACAGAGGAGTAGATCTAGGGAGCCTCCAACTAGACGATACGATGAACGTGAGAAGTATTCTAAAAGGGTCATTAATACCATAGCTAGAGGGTTTGCCAGTGGAGGACCTACCTATTTGGCCAGAAAGAGACATTTGAGACAAGTCAGATCAGTCAACAATATCTCACTTGGTAGTAGGATTCGGATCCCTCTATTACATTTACTGATGAAGACTTTCAAGGAGTGGACCCTGTACAAGACGACCCCATGGTGATAAGTGTAGACATTCTCAACTACACTATCCGAAAAACAATCATTGATCAGGGGAGTTCAGCCGACATCCTCTACTAGAATACTTTTAAGCAACTGGGAATACCAGAGGAGGAACTCAAAGAATACCATGAACCCCTAGTCAGTTTTTTAGGAGAAAGGGTGGAGACTCGTGGGTGTATTGATCTTTACATATCATTTGGATCAGAGCATGAAGGAAAGCGTATCAAGGTCACGTACCTGGTAGTTCACCCAAATACCTCATACAACATATTACTCGGCAGGCCGTCCCTTAACAAACTTAAAGCCATAGTATCTACTCCACATTTGGCTATGAAATTTCCATCCGTAAAGGGCCGAATAGTCATAGTTCATGCTGATCAGAAGAAAGCGAGGGAGTGTTATTTTGCAAGCCTACGCATCAAACCACTCCAAGACTACAAACAAGATGTTAACAATGTCACCCTTAGGTCTGGGGAGGACTTAGATATTGAACTTGATCCTAGGACTGACGAAGGGTGTCGGGTTAAGCCCAATGAAAATAAGCAACCTTTTCAGCTTGGACCGAAGCCTGAGCATGTTACTTACTTAGGAGTCGGCCTATCTGGCCAAGAAAAACAGGAGCTCCAAAAAACATTGATACGAAATGCTGATCTATTTGCCTGGTCGGCTTCAGACATGCCCGGAATTGATCCAGCATTTCTTGTCATCACCTCTGGATTTATAAAGCAGCAAAACCAATAGCACAAAAGAAAAGGAAATTGGGAGGCGACAGAGCGAAAGTGGTAAAGGAGGAGACTGCTAAATTAATACAGGTCAGTTTTATCCGAGAGGTTAAATACTCTACC